ATCAAAGCGCTTTACAATATTGATACAATTAAAACTATAAAACAGAGTAATGACAACGTAAACGTAATAAAGTTATGTTGTTTCACTCGCCACAATCTCTATACTTTTCGAACTGTTATCTTTAATTATGTCTTTTATACAAAATCACAAACCTAGTATTATGTTAAGTGTTTCTATTTATGGTAAATGAATATCATTTTGAATTGAACTGAACTGGGCTATGAGGAAGTAAAACTAAATCAGGAACTAGTCATCTTGAGAGTTGTCTGGGATTAAGAATCGGGGACACTTCATTCAAGTATGAGACAAACTTACGTCACGTGACGTCGGGTATCGGTCAAAATATCTTATCTGCACTAGTTTGGCCAGGAGAGATTAGACCTCCCTGTTTGGTTTCTGGCAGGTGGTTATGTCATTAAAATCAGCTCTCAATTAACATAAGAAAAAGGAGACCATGGGGAGTCAACGGGTATCGCTTAGGCATTGTTGGCTGTATATAGGGCGCAAGTCGCTACAAGTAATGCAGTCCCGCTTTAAGAGGGTTACTCAAATCTTTTAATCCTATTCGACGTAGCTATTGTCCATATCAACATAATTTTACTTTTAAGCGCAGAAAACACGTACTGGAGGAAAAGAGATTTGACAGTAAGGCAATCGACAAACTTCCGACAGGCATAAAATAACAACAATTACCAACAAAATAAATAAATGAAATACGAAAAGCAAAATATATAAACGAGGCATGCGGTAAATTGTGCATGTAACATATGAAATAATAATGTTTTGCTTACGAATAATAAAATCCGAGTTTCGTAAGGATTCTGATCATAGTAACAGTGGTGATTTTAGTGTATATATAGTCTATATACAAGGAAGAACCATAGCGCTTACAGTGTTAACGACATAGGAAAGAGACAAAAAGTAGCTCAGTGCACAGAGATGGGTTTTGGAGAGTTAAATGTGGTGAGATTTTCTACACTGCATTGTCCGAATTGAGCATGGTGTATTATTCCTAATTTCAGAAGCCGTTACACCCAGTCGTAAATCGTAAAAACAACTTTCTGGTATCGAATAGAAAATACCAAGTACCAACATTAATCAAGTGGTCACTTACATGAACTAAGACTGGTCATAAATTTATCAAGTGCTCGAGTCAAATTCTAAGTACTTGAGTTGTAATTACTTTCGCTGTTTCATTTAGTAGTACATGCTTCTATGCCTAGAATACGGAAATAACTACAAGTATGTATAGGTCTACAGACACATTAAAGCCTACCTCATACTATATTTCTGCCAGTAAGGTCACAAATAATTATTTGAAAAGTATTAATCAAACTCGCTAGATGATTATACCTAATTCGTAGAAGACTTTTCTATGCGTTTAATACATTTGATAACACATGTCTCGAACGAAGTTTATCTTCTTGATATGAATTACTTCTATCTGTAGTGTACACACCATACAGGGCTACAACCTACATGTATTTACAGCATTGGGTAATCGTGCAGAAAGCGTGTTTTTCTAGTTTTTAGTGAATAGAGTTAATTATACTCAAAATTGTAGGACGTTGGAAAGTAAGCTAAAACTAATACGCAGGCATACAGGAGATAGCAATTTACAGTATTCGATTTGACAAAATCTCGGGTTCGAAACAAAGTCAATACGCTAGTGCCCTTTAGTAAGGAATCAATCCTCATTACCAAGTCCCTCGGGGAGGACTTTAAGCCGTCGATCGCCTGGTTACTTACTTAAAAGCATACACATGTTTTCTTGGCAGTCGGATAAAACTAACCATCAAACCATCAACGCAAACAACTATTTGCTTGATTTTGAATCGTTTCCTTTTCTCCTTTGGCTGAACACCTCTCAGTTTTAACTAATAACTTTGTGTTTATCATTTATACCAAGAATAAATTGCACATGATCACATGTTATGTTAACATTACAATGACCTTTGACCTTTGTGATCATTATTCACAACCGAATAAGGAATACGTCAAAGACACGTGGTAAACAGCTCAAAGACATACCCCTGAACGGATGTGGTTGCGATTTATATTTCGGAAACAAAGGAAATGAAGTAGCTTAATATTTGAAATCTATTACTACTCAGTGGAGGGTGAATAAACTGAATTAAAACCTGTTTTTACTATGAAAATTCGGAGACAAGATGAACGCACATGTTATTACCGCACATCTACTATGCACAACTCATTAAGAACGTAGAAAACGGACTAGATAAAGTTGAGTTGTTGTCATGTAATTGCAATGCGAAGGAAACTATCTGGGAGTTATTGTAAAGGTTAATCATGTAGCACATTAGAATGAGGTTTTGGAATCGTCAAAGTGATTACAAAAAAAAAAAAATTTGACTCAGTCTTGCCAAGAGTCACGTGTGCAGTACAGAGAAGCAAAACGTGATATGATTATGATTTTTAAAATAAATGAAATTAGATCAAGAAATTGAGTGAAATGGTGTTCAGTATGATGGAAACTGCGTGGAATATATAAAAGACTCTTCATCTTAGTGCAGAAGTGACGAAAATGATATCAAAGCCACATATTCACCATGCTAATACCATCATTCACCGCTCAAAATATATTTGTCATGTCATAAAAGGCCTCATAATATTACAGTTAATGATAATCTACATGTATAAAACCTAATGTTGATACAACATTTTAAATATATGTCCACGATTTTTCACAAGACGTTATTCCCTGCAATCGCTTTTGATACGACGAAAAGTTGAGGCATTCTACTTCCTCAATTTGCGATTTTCAAATCTGTGCCAAGGTATTGCAACTCACGTGCGTGAGATATATCCAACCAAAATCCAATACTACGTATTGTGATTTGATTTACACATCTTTTTCTTGGCTCTGCAAAACGGACGGGTATGAGAGTAGCGTGGGAGTGCAATTGTAATATTAAATGTATTTCCAGCAACAGAGATGATCTTGCAAGCACAAGAAGCGAGGTTTATACATGTACAGCAAGTAATTGGTATATGTAGTCTCATCTTCCATTTCTATAACTAACCGCCTCCTATATGGTTGCACCATCGATTGATCAAAAGATCGAAAACATTTCAGCTGAGAAGGGAAGAAGATGATATTGAGTGTTCTATTCACACGAATGTTCCACATCTGAGGTAATTTTGGTGAAAAGAGTTCAGTATTATAAATAAATAAATATAGAAATACATGTGAAGTTATGCTACAGAGTGGATTACTTAATCCAGACAGAATTCATACTGACTGACAAAAATGATTGTTAAATCTTGACTATATCCTACTAAGAAATTGAATAGTATATGCTCATGATCTACTTATCAGCTTAACAAGTCACACTAGTTTGAAGATGGATAGTGTTGTCCACATTAACAATTCTTAAGCTGTACATATGGGGTCCCTGTCCCAGTATAAGTAAAAGCATTATACAAGTCTTTTGTGGTTGATATATCTTCCACTGTGCCTTTCCTTGGGGTTATTTCCTTGTTTCATAGCGGATGAGTACTGATTGGAAGATCACTACTACTCCTACCACCACTCCTAATACTACTACAAATGTATTATAATTAGTACTAATATACTACTACTACTACTAATACTACTACTACTACTACTACTACTACTACTACCACTACTACTACTAATTCTACTACTACTACTACCACTACTACCACTACTACTACTACTACTACTACTACTACTACTACTACTACTACTACTACTACTACCACTACTACCACTACTACTACTACTACTACTACTGCTACTACTACTACTACCACTACTACTACCACTACTACTACTACTACTACTACTACTACTACTACCACTACTACTACTAATTCTACTTCTACTACTCCTGATACTAATACCATTTGTATTATGATTATTATTGCTATCATTATTACTACTACTACTGCTACTACTACAACTACTATCACTAATTATTCTACCACTAATACCACTAATTATTCTACTAATAACATCACTTCTACTTCTCCTACTACTTCTACCACTGCTACTACTACTTCTACCAATACCACCACTACTACTAAATCTACATGTACTTCTATTACTAATACATGTACTACCATTACTTCTACTGCTACTACTACTACTACTACTACTACTACTACTACTACTACTACTACTACTACTAATAAAAATAATACTACTGTTCCTACTAATTCTACTACTTCTTCTACTTTTGCAGCTCCTTTAGCCGTTGAAAACGTTACCACACATATTACTTCTAAAGTTAATACCTGGAAATTATTCTACATAATATGAACTAAAAGTAATCCTACTTTCGTAATCTGATAATTGCACCCAATTATTCAGATAAAACGTTTAGAAATACAAATACCGTTATTTTTTATACTACCACTAATAAAAGGTAATGAGTATAGTAAAGTTTGAATCGAAGTGTCATTACATTTGCAATAGTTATATTAAAGCGATATATTTCAAATCGAGGACGGTTAATAACGATGCATTTCACTCTTTATCCATATATGAATTTAGACAATATTACGGATAATTTAAGTTCTCATTATATCATAATGGCCCTCATCGTTATCACCATCATCATCTTCATGATATAAACACTATCTAGTGATAATAATAATCATAATAAACATATTAATAATAATGATAACCATAATAATAATAACAATAATGATAATGATGATAATAATATTATAAAACATAAAGGACCATAGTGCTCTCAAATCAATTTAATTTGAAAAGAAACATAAACAATTCACAGACTCAGGGACATTATATTGCTGAGTGAATTAGTATGTATTCACAGATCTTTCGAAAGAGGCAAGACAGATATTTTCCTCTCTGATAGAAGATTGGATGTTATTCTACGTTTTCGAACCAGTCACTGCATATTGTCAGCGTATATAAATTATACTTGTACATGATACTTACTTCTTACTTTAGTTTACTCAACTCAACTCAATATGATCATACATACCTGCTGCATGTGTGAGTACGGCTAATCCACAAATGATGACACTCAACTGAAGAAAGAAATTCATAATTGTTCTTGGGCACCTTTCTGCCATCTTTCTTATGAAATAAATATAGTTCGATTTCAATATAAAATCGCAGACTCCAAGTCCAACCTGTGGTAACAGTTCAACTGCTCAACATAAACAAACTTTCAAAGTGCATACGCCCATGGACATTCATATATACACCATGCACTGCAATACGCAATTCAACTTTTCCATGCTTCTTCAGAATATCCACAAATGCTTGGTTCTTAAAAAGGTGTGATGACAAGAATTTAGTCAGTACTTTAAATGTGTAAATGACAAGAGTGATACTAGTTATGATTCCATAACGGTCCGTTTCGAATGCAACGCTGTTTTACACTGTGGATCCAATTCCTGTTCTGAACGGGAGAAGACTGACTTTCAACCGCTCGCAATGAATGGATATTGGCGTTAATACGTAAGGGCCGTGGGTTTGCCATAGTTTTTCCGCGGCGGCACGGTGTCACCGTTAACTTCAGGTGGGACCGTCCTATTGTGTTCGTGCACCCAACCACGCCCTAGGCAGGCACAATGCTCGGGGTTCGGTACAGCAAAGAAACTCGGGAATTCTTTTCAATTCGTCATCGGCTTTTATCGATGTGTATTCAGGCAGGAGCACTCAGTGGGATCAGTATTTACATGTACAACTAGGGTGGCTTCACTGTGTGTAATTCTATCATATTTCTATATTCATAATCCATTTTTGGTTTGTCCTTTTCAGAGTTGCACCGGAGGCCAACTTTAATGGTGTCATGAAAAAGGAAACGCCTCTTCTGCTCCAGCTTGGGTGTTCACGGGCATGATATAAAGACTTTTTGTACATATCATAAGCTTTACATACAAACACACCACACACATACACGCATTCATATACAAATATGATTTATATAATAAATAAAACAATCGAAGTAAAAATCCTTGAGACAAATCTTTCTTCACCATGACCAGTGTCGATTTCATTTCTTCAGATATATATATATATATTTATATTATTATTATTATTTAGAGTCATATAAATAAATACTAATGACTGGTTGCATCCTCAATGTTAAAGCTGAGGAGGCCTTGTCACTGATCTGCCCTTTTATATGACTTACTTGACTTATGACGTCCACGAAGGCAAGAGGCCTCGTGATGGATTCTGTATGGTGATGGTATGCCAGGTATTTCTGTCTGCAGCCAGTCTTGATGCATCTGTCAGCCTTGATATGGATCTTGCTTTGCAGTCCTCTGAGATGCAGTCCAAGCCATCTTTTGGTGGACGGCCTCTGGGTCGATTTCCTGTGACGTTTCCTTCAACAGTAATTTTTTGGTATCTTGTGGGTTTTATTCTTAGGACGTGACCAAAATATTTGAGTCTTTTAGTGGAGACTTTGTCCATAACATCTTGATCGAGGTTGAGGGATTCTTTGATGTGTGTGTTCCGGATCTTGTCTAGTCTTGTCACCCCCATTATGCGACGGATGCATGCCATTTCAAACACTTGAAGTCTGTTGCTATCTTCTTTTCAAACTGTCCAGGATTCTGCCCCATAAAGCAGAATTGAGAGGATAAGTGATTGATACAGTAGCATCTTTGTGTGGCTACTAATGCTTGTTGATGTACAGATGTTCTTTAGTCTTCGGAAAGCTGCCCCTGCTCTCCTGCTCCCCCCCATGTACACAAAATCTTCCACCTGTTTTAGTCTGTCGTTGGCTATGTCAATGTTAAGGTTGCACTTTCCTTTTGCACTTCCTTGCACTTCTGTCTTTGCTATGTTCACCTTGAGACCCAGGACACAGCTTGCCTCGTAGATTTTATCCACAAGTGTATGCAGTTCATCTGGTGTCTCTGCTATTAAGACGATGTCGTCTGCAAAACGTAGGTTGTTTATGCAGGTTTCTTGAATGTTGGCTCCTATTTGAACTTCATCCATTGCCATGATCATAACTAGCTCGAGGAGTATATTGAAAAGTTGTGGGGAGATGGCACACCAATGTATATACTTTTAAAAATGCATTATGAACCAAGCTGCTACTTTGCTGTTTTTGTATCACATTTATGAATTATTACCCCGTTGGTTTCTAGAAATATTTAATCCGATAAATCACAGCTTGGACTTTTAGGGTATCACTATCTTTTAAATTCAATTTCTAAAAGATCTTTAAAAGAAAGTTTTGTAAATAGTTATTTCATAGATGCTTGCCCTGGCTTTACATTAAATGCACATTACAAAGTATTCGGACATGCCAATTCTAAATTAACCAACCATTTATCAAACTATTAAAGCAATAGTGATGCGTCTAGGATAAATAAAAACTGTACACAGTTCGCCCGCCATGATCAAGCATATTAGATTACCACGTATATTATGATTAATTACATAATCTATAACTGCATTCCAAGCTATCAGTAGTTTTCTTGTATCCATATCATATCGTAGTATATTGTAATAACATTCTTTGTAATGTAATTCATTGTACTGTAGTTCTTCGTAATGTAACGCTTTGCTTGTAATGTAATGTTTTGCAAAATAGTGTTAGTATTGTAGAACCAATATTATGTATTTCTGCAGATATCAATTGTATGTCATATTAATTTATCATCATTGTATACTCGTTCATGTGTATCATGTAATGCGCGAAAACGAACATAATTATTATCTAACATTATTTCTATTTGGTGTTGGGTGCTGCAATTTATGATTTCAAATTCAATTGAGTAAAAAAGTAATTAGTTTTTCGAAGAAATATATTTTCCATGCTTTCACCTTCATCAACACAATATTGACATAGGAAAGTGGGGTAGAAAAAAAAGGGGGGGGGGGCTGGTATTCCAACTCAGTTTATTTAATTTACATAAGTTATTTGAATGATGTACATGTGTTACATTATTATCATGAAAGTGACTCTCACGTACAAATGTTGTTACTGTGATTGACATTAATCGCCCGTTCCCTCTATCATAAAGACAATTATAAAATCATCCCCTTTAGGGCCCAAATACTCACGAGCTCAGCTTTTACCATAGGCCCTTGCAATTTAACTTAAGTGTTTAGTTCAGTCTTTTAACTTAATGCATTTAAACAACTTGATATGAGGTACTTAACTTTTTTTTGTATGCTAATATAATCCATGTTTATTTATATCATTTACTTTGTGACATCATTGCAGAATGTTTAAAATATGCGAAATATGAAGCAATAAACTGAATTGAAACTGAAGTGTTTAATGAAAAAGACGATCATAGGTGATATGTGATGTTATATGGAATAAATATCCTGACAAATCTCAGTGGAATACGTCTTTCCCCATTCTGGAAACAATAGACAGTGTCCAAGAAAAAAGGCAACTGGAAGCGAGTTTTAAGGTGGCGCTCTTTAAGGCTTCCAGGCAGATACGTTGATTAGGAGAGTTTGGCCAACCCGTTTTAAGTTGGGCACATTATGGCGAATATTGCTTTAATGGGAATGCATAATACAAATGATGCTGCCACTAATTGAAACCAAGTTGGCCAACTTCTGTTTATAGATGGCTCTTTTTCTTGACAGACACCTTGATGGGAACATCGTTCATCAGAATAGGCATGATTTAATCAGAAGTTAGTGTAGCAGTGGCATTTTCTAGGAATAGAGACATCACTAACCCCATTCCTAACCCTAACGCTAACCGACGCGGACGTTACTACATTGCTACATTACAGTACGTAAGTGGATATTTTGAAAATACGCCTCTATTACTGGTGAAACCAAAGCTTATAATCTTTCGGTTTTATATTATGTATCCCAATGACATATATCATTATATATACTGTATGTGTGTATCATGTGTAAACCGATTGTCATTATACAATTATTTCTTCAGCCCGTCCATTTCATATACACAGTTTCCCATAAAGATTGAAGTATATTTCGTTTCACCTCATTTCATAAAACGATATTTTTCAATGAAAAGTTTATATCTTCCTAGAACGTTACTAATCATATTCGAAGAGTCATATAAATTGATATATACAGTTCTGAGAAGATAATGATGAATTTCATTTATCGAGAACATGATAAATCATATCGTCACTGTCATTTCATGAAAGGAGATAATATAGAAATTATTCCAAATTACTGGCAACAGTGTAAATTATTAACCATGTGTTCGTGGAAAACAATTATTTTTAACATGGAGTAAATTCGGAAGACTTTAAGTGAAGCAGGGGTTGCGGAGCGTTTTGTTTAAAGTTACAAACTATAAGAAAAGATAACTTTACTTGAAAATGACTGGAAGGAAAAGGATGAATTCTTGCACTGCATTGGTCCCTATGTTTTAATTAATCGTTATGCAATGGATTTGAGCTTATTTTTCTGTATGGAATTGTTTAATGAGGTACAAAAAATTGTATTAAAAACAAAACGATTTTTTTTGGGGGGGGGGGAGAGGGAAGGAGAGGGGAGGGAGTTTGAGGTATGTTATGTTATATTGTTTCCATTATGTTATTATTTGTCATAATGTTCGACAAGTATGAGCTTGTTTTTATATAATATCTATAACATGTAATTTTGTTTTCTATGGATTTGTCGAATGGAAGCACAACAAATTATATTCAAAACAAAAAATATTTGATCTATCTTAGTTATTGCTTACGATTAAACAAGATTGTTTATTCCCCCCTTTACAATTCGACTCATCAGGACATGTGTAAAATATATATTCACATATTGTACTACATTATGCATTTTTAGTTATAACCTAGAATTAAACAATTTTGTTTGGTTCCCCTTTTAGAATTCGTCTTTAATGAGGTCCTGTTTAAAATGAATTCGCATAAAACATGTCATTTTACAGAAAACAAAAATAGCAAAGAAAGAGTTGAACATAGGGGCGTGAAATATAAAACTATATTGCTTCATGAGATTGTGAATTTGAACAAAAGATTTAATTACAAATTAAAAAGTTTTGAACATGATGAACAGAATAGTTGCAATTCCATTACCTGTTAATACATCTATAAATGGAAGCATAATATATTACTATGAAACAATATGCTTTGTGGGTAATAAATGCTTTAATTTGGCTAAATACAATTCATTTGCATAAGAAGAATTAGAAGGTTACATTTTTACACCGTATACATATCTGCTTATAATTGCATCTAAGCCGCAAACATATCAAGAAATTACAAGAAAATACAAACAACAACAACATGACAACAATGCTATACAATAATTCGATATAATAAAATCATATAAACTGCACTGATATCATTTCGCAATTATGATTAGAAACATTGGAATTGCAGGTTTTGTTCATGAGGGAAAATTTCAGGATCTTGAGGAATATTGCGATTGCTGCACTTGACTTGATGCATGAACATGATGAACACCTGATGAGGGAAGGTAACTAGAAAAGCGCGCAGCGGCTGGGCAGAAGGATCTGTCACCCCACGATCTCTTAGTCCAAACTTCTCGAAACTTCTGGACGGTCCCTCATCGAAGATCCATTTTTGGTCTTCTTTCCGTCATGTTCGTCTCCATAACATCAGACAAGCAACTTGGTGCCTGGTCAGTGTTAAGTTTGAAGATAAGGGAAAGTATGTTGTACTCAAGTGTATGACTGATAGGTAACCAGTGTAATGCCTTGGGGGTATGGGGTTAAGTGAATGTGAGATTTGGACTGACAGGTGATAAGTCGTCCAACTGAATTTTGGATCAGTTGGAGCCTTTTGATCTTGTAATCGGGTGGAATTCAGAGGAACATCGAATAACCGTTGGTTAGTGGCCCATCAAACGGATTTGGTTGTTTTACAGGATATACCTTTCTATGACTAAGCTGATCCACGATGGTAATCAAAAGCCCTCCGGGTCCTGTTTCATAAAACTACAATAACTGTTATAAGCTATTGAAATTGTGGAATTTGATTGGCTGAGATCAAATTTGTCATATAAATGTACCATTTGTTATGGATAACAAGTTTTATGAAACAAGGCCCTGATCTGAAGTACAATTCTTTACAGCAGATGAATAGAATGGTCTCGTTGTATTCTCTACGATCTGCACAACAGTTTGGTACTGTTTCTTTTGTATCGCTTCTTTTGAAATATCCTTTCCTCTCTATTTGCACATGAGTACAAGGACTAAGTCATTGACCAAATTAATTGTTTTACTTCAGCATAAAAAAACGCCCCGAAACTGTCAACAATAATCATTTGTCGCCATGTTCCTTTTTTATAAATATTTATTATCTTTCATATTATGCTTACTATAGCATTAGCTTAATGTTCCTTACTTTTGATTTGGTTTTATTTCTGCATGTTTCCAAATATAATAACTGACTATAAGCAAAGAACATACAAACGTAAGATATAATACAAAATATACAAACAATAATAAATTCATGTCAAAATATTTCTTGTTACATATGTACATAATCATAATAACAAAACTTAATATTACCATAACATTATTATCATAAGTATTATCCGAGCTATCTGTTGAAAAGGTGCAGGAGACCGCCATCATAAGCAATGCTTGATTAGGATGGCGGCCCCCAAAACAAATCTTAAGGTAAAACTTAAAACTTACTTCGACATCATCTAAAAACTCTTTGGCACAATTAATGTATTTCTATGAGGCATATCATATGACATATTTGTAATACGATTTGTACGCGATGATGCAGATATTTTTAAAAACTGTCCTGTTCAGAATGATCAAAACAAGCAAATGTAAAACAATTCAAACCCTTCTCAGAAAGCAATATACATCGATGCACATATGGAGAAAAAGATACCACGACACAGTTCAATTTTAGCACTTGAACTACAAACTGCGATACCCGCTATATCATTTTCATGTAACTACGAATGTACGTGATTCCACTGATGTCGGAATGTTTGTTTTTGCTATGTCAAAATGACACATCCGCCTTTCCTTTTGAAAATTATACCGCTTT